ATTCACAGCAATAAGATTCACTGATCCATTTGTGCACCAAAGTCCAGATAGCAGCATATAGATGGGTGTAGTTTGGTTATGGGCTGGTGTAATTGTGCCCTCAGTAATATGTACATTCCCAGCAAAACACCTTATACAGAGTACACCCAATTGTCCACCCCTTGCATAGGCCATTGATTCTGCTTCTCCATAGTCATAGGAGAGTGGCATATCCAAACATCTTCTGTTGATTTACACTATTTTACACACACCCCCATTAATTCCCAGTGAGCTCCTCCCCTTCTCATTATTTCCATAGGGCTTGTGGGGACCACCTTAGTTGCCATTCCATTTCCAGGTACCACGGTAGCTATTACACAGGTGTTGGCCTCCTAGTTGAGCATTTTGCATTCCCATACACATCTCCCCCCAGGGTCAGCCTTTTGAAGCCATCCCCCACCCATGTCATGAGATTTTCTGTTCATTAAAACACAACAATGCTAGCAACAAGACAAACACCACAGACAAACACAAAACACAGATCCATGGTATTGTGGGTTATTTTTCCGCTGGTGCCAGCTTGCTTGTAGAGTGTCTGAAAAACAAAAGAAACAATTTCCACCCCCTGGTGGGGACAGATTATTGCTTAATAATAATAATAGCACTTTATTTTACAAATTTCCTTGCTAATTGCAGGAAAAACAGAAGTATTACCTCCAGGCTGTCCTTATTTTGTTCTATAGTCAGGCTAGTGAACTACCCCACTCACTGGTCATTTATGAAATTCATGAGGTGGTGTACCCCAGTTTCCCCTCTTGTACAACAGACCATGTTTACAATAGTTTCTCTGCTGTACCAAGCATTAAGTTTATTCTCAGGTAATAGCTGACAGACAGCTTCAGATTTTAGTACTACACACAAAATTCGTTTTTGCCTAACATCCCTTGCACTGTGATTACTCTTTTTTACACAACTGTACCCCGATTACACTTCCATCTTGTACAACTAGACACAACCAGGGGTAGCCAAGTTAAGTTCCAATAGAAACCCCTTACATCCTTTAGTGATTTTGATTACATTACCCAATACTCAAATAATTTTGATCAGATTATTTCTCCGCCTGCTGCCTGCAGCAGTCCCTTATAGACCATTTCTGTGGGAAAAGGGCCCATTTTCCTTCAGAATAGCTGTAAAGCCTTCTGGGTACAGAAACATAGTGGTGGTAGTAGCCATTCTACCTGACCCCCTTGGATAATTTAATGACCAAGCTTCCATCCAATGTGACTGCACAGAGTTGCACGTACAGTTACATTTATATAACTGGGTTTTATCATTAAACAAAAACTTCCTTCTTGTAACACCACAACTGTTACTCTTTAACATCTTCACAACAGTTACCTTTTACCATTTCCACAACCCCCAAATGTTTACTTTCCTGCAAACCCTGTATCATCAATTCCTGCAAAAGCTATTTGTAACTCACTTCTTTCAATCACTTACTCCTACATTTAGTTCTTTAAGGTAGTGCAATTTGTCTGTAACAACTTAGCCACCAAGTACAATTATTGCCACACAGCTGCCTTAACCTGTGCTGTCTTTACCGTGACACTGTTCAAAGAGGCAGTAAAACATTTGTCTCCATGGATGCCCATGGATCTTTTACTCCAAAAATTCCAGTGGAATACAGCAGACCTCCATCATACTTTGTCCAAAATAACCAAAAACAGCTCACATAAGTATCCAAAGTACCCTCCATTAAAGCTTCAGAAAAACAAAAGTGTGGAAAGGCAGGAGGAGAGATGGAAAGAAACCAATTAAGCCTGTCAGGTCAGTTTAAAGTATAGGCTACCAGCAGCAAATTAAGTAAACCGAGAAAAAGAAGAAGGAAAAGAAGAAAAGGACATAGCTAGCTCTGAGCCAAGAGTAGGTTCCCTGGGTTGAAACAGTCGGGAACCCTTATCCCCAGGTTCTCATCCTGGCTCTGGAAGAAGAGTGGGAGTTGTTACCTGCTCCTGCAAACCCCCTGCCATTTTGCACTTTGAAACTTTTTTTTTTCTTCCCCTTCTTTCTCTCCACTCCCCCAGGACCAAGTCCCAGCTCCAGTCTCTAAAGGTCGTCTGTTAACTCTGCTTTTGACTTTAAACCCTGTTGTGCCAAATCATCTTTAACTACCCCTAACTAATTTATAACCCTCCAGCAGCCCTTGCTGAAGCAGCACCAAACTTGATAGATTCCTGGCAGCTTCCCATAATGCTGCCCTTACTTCAAACCTCTCACAAGCAGACTGAAGAGCCTCCTTTCCCTGGAAGGCATCTAGTCCCCATGTGCAGGGACCTTCTTCCGCTACCCATATACCAAGGAGGGTGGGCTCCTCAGCCACCCCCCATCCCTCTGGGTCCCCTAACACTTCCTCCATTTCCTTTTTAATCTCATCCCAGGTTGACCCCAGCACCTGGTATGGGCCCTGGTTCTTCCTTATCCATTTATCCAAATCCTTTACCCTGGCTTGCCAGAACCCGCAACTACCATCACGAGAATTCGCTATACCCCCTCCAAGCAGCTGCGCGGACTGTTGGGGAGGGGGACTTACAGGCTGCCACTCACCTATCCGATACTATCTATATCCTAACACCCCCACCAAAAATAGCTCAAATTTGGCTGAATCCTATGGACAAAAGAGGAATTTATTTGCTCTTCTGAATGTAAAAAATACTGCCTTACTAGTTAGCACTGGAAAGAAAAAGACATGCCGTGCCATTGTGCAGCAGTGGAATGGAATTTCCTTTCATTGCTAAGGTGAGAGCCGTGATAGATATCGCAACCCCACACAATGGGTTTGCGAATCATCGTGTCTTAAATTTATGTATCACTGTAGGCCGGGTATTGTATGCAACTCCCGGGGAGGGTTACCAACAACTCCTCCAAGAACCAAAAACAGTGCGGGGTGATAAAAGTGAATCACGTAGGTTGTAAACATCCCCTGGGGCTTCCATATACTGGTTCAGACTGGGTTTTCCAGAGGCCAACAGCCAAAGATCTAGCAAACGACCAGGACCTTCTGTTCAAGGAGGCCCCAACCTTTGCAGAAGAATTGGAAAGACTTTGGCCCATTAGGGCCCAATAAAACTGATAGGCATCTCCTTGTAGGGTTAGTGTGTGTTTACATCTGTTTATTGTTTATTATCTGTTTTCTCTGTAATGCTTTTGCCTCACAAATAAAGATGCTTGCTTAGAAGAGCTGTAACTGTTTGTAGCTTGCCCAGTACTGAACTTGTAACTGCTGGCAATACACTGTTCATAGCCCTCGGAGACAGCAAAGCACAGGACTGGCTGGTAGGCAGGCTGGCTTGCTGGGAATACCACAGTATAAGGCAGGGAGTTGTGCAGACTTAAAGTCCCAGCTCAGAAGGGAGCAGGACAAGGGTCCCTGCCCAGAAACAGGTGATAGCTGAGACCCGACTGGGCATTCTTAGAGTGGATTATGGAGTCGGGGGGGGGAATACAGGTGTAGTTACCCTGAAACTGTGACAAGAGTGCATAACCTTCTCTATGCTGCGTCTTACTCTGAACCTGGCAATTTCCCATCCACTGATTGTAACTATAACCCAAGGCTGCTGGAAAATCGCTAGAAGGCTTCCAGTAAAATTCTGAATCGGATAATCCATCTCCTCTCTGCTCAGTACTGGGCAGCCCAGGCTTCCTGGCTACATACCACACCAAAGCCCTTGAAAACTTGCCAGAACGGGGCCTCACTAAGACACTGCAAGTTTTCCGTTGGTGCTGTTGAACTGCTGCGATAGAAACACCAGGCATTCAAAATACCCTCTTACCATCTTCAGATAGATCACCGCACTCTTACTCTTAACCTGGGCCCAGGTTGCCCCTCCTGTGTGAAAAGCCATGGGTCAGGGGACATTTTCTGAGGAAATCTCCATGACGATTCCCCTGGGAAAACCAGTGGGGCCTGCCCCCAAACCTGGGGAATTTATAGGAGCCCCACTCTGGGGTAGGCCACTGGCAGGATGGCACCATTAGAGCTCTCTCCTCCCAGTCAACTTGGATTCCACCCCCTCCCCAAGAGAGGACCCAGGCCTGTACAGAGAACCCTCCACAGAGCCAGGATCCCCCTGGACGGTGGGATCCCCCAGAGGATGGTGCCTCCAGTATTTAAATTAAATGGCTACTGGGGATCTGATTTCTTTGCTGGTCACTAGATGACCTCCTGAGGTCCCTTCCAACCCTGATATTCTATGATTCTATGATAGTTAGGTATCCCCAGCAAACCAGTTATTCAGTCTTTTTGTCTTGGGCCTGGTCTACACTTAAAAATTAGAGCAACCTAGCTACGTCACGCAGAGCTGCGAACAATTCCTTGCCCTGAGTGGTGTACTTCGGTCAGCCTCACCCCCTGTGTAGAGGTGGCTAGGTGAAGGGAAGAATCCTTCCATCAACATAGCTGCCACCTCTCACCGAGATGGTTTAATTAATTAGACAGAAAAACCCTCTTCCATCGATGTGGGAAGCATCCATACTAAGGTCCTACAACGGCACCACTTCAGCAGTTGTCGTGTAGACAGGCCCTCAGACAGCTATTCATAAATGTCAGTGACCGTGATTAGAATAATGACTATTAGCAAGTACAAGCCGGTCACCTCTGCTCTTCTGTCTTACCCCGTTATTTGTAATGGATGCAGTTCAAGCTGTGAGAGGCTGTCCATTTTCTGGTTGCAGCTGTGGGATGGGGGAGTGGGTTTTGTCCCCTCAGTTGATTTTTTTGCTCCCCTTATTGCACTGACAGATACACGGCAAGGTTTCGAAGCCCCTCTCTTTGCAGGCACCGGCTCGCTGGCTGACAACGCTTTCCTGTGGGAGAAGGGGAAAGCCACAGCTTTGAGGAAGAGCGGCGCGCAGAATGAATAAGCCAATCATTCCCCCTTTGCACAAGGCTGCTGAAGAGGCAATGTATATAAAGTGCCCAGGCACTGCACTCCCACCTTACCTTGAAACAAAGAGGACCAAGGATGGCGAGCTGCTGAGCGGACCTGCTGCTGCTGCTGCTTACCTTGGCCACTGCAGTCCCCGTGCAGCCCCCTCAGCCCTACGAGAAGGCCATCGCCCGGGCCATCGACTTCTACAACCAAGGACCGAAGGTGAAATACGCCTTCCGCCTCCTTACAGCCACCCCTCCGCCTGAAGTGGTGAGTACTGAAGGGTTCCCTTCGCTAGCTGCTGTTTGAAACCCAGGCAGGGACCCGGTGAGACATGATTCTCCCTGACCCTGGGCCCCCATCCCCTCTCGCCCGGATCACTCGGGGCCTGCTCTGTAGCCCGTGAAATAAACTCCAGTGTGGGTTGGATCAGACCCGCTGGTCTTTCGCTGTTCTAACAACACTGAGAAGCGGTGTGGGCCAGTGGCTGAAACACAGGATTGGAACTGGGGGCCTCTGGATTCTCAACCTGGCTCTGCCACTGACCTGCAGTGTGACCTTGGGCCTGTCCCATCCTTCGGCTGCCTTGTGTAGTTAAATGATAAACTCCTTGGGGCAGAAATCTCTGCTTGTTTCTCACTATATGCATGCACAGGAATTAGCTCAATGGGCCCCCCCATCTTAGAGGAGGCCGCTAGATGCTAAAAACAGTGACGACCCTGTCAACTTCGAGACTTCACACTCCCCCAAATTTACAACTCAGCAGCAACCTCCTAAGGGCAACCGGTCCCACTCCACTAATCAACCTGTCCTCAATAAGAATATCCAGCTCTTATCTAGCGCTTTGCATCAGTAGCTCTCAAAGGAGGCCAGTAGCATCATCCCCATTTTACAGATGGGGAAACTGAGGCACAGAGCGGCGAAATGACTTGCCCAAGGTCACCCAGCAGCCAGGAATAAACCCCAGCTCATTAGGAATTAATGAAACCGGGATTGCTTTCTATCCCCAAAACAACAGACACTGAAATAAAAAGGCATTTCAGAAGGGTTAACCATGGCTGGTCATGGTGGTGGGGGTGCTGGTGGAACAGGATTAGCCTGACATACTGCACTCAGGTAAACACTGTACATACAGCATTACTGAAATATTCAAAGCTGGTTGAATGGTGCAGTTCTGTCCTACCAAATCCTCAGCGCTACATCTCAAGTAAATGCAACATTCATCCCAAACTAATGAATACCAGTGGATTGCTTCAATATGCATTTATCACATCACATCTGAGATAAGGATTAGACACTGACATAGAGACTAGGAACAACAGGAGTTATATAAATTGGGGTATATTTGTATAAAGGGTACAAAACTTTCCTGTTTCAGGGTTTAAGCCAACCACTACCTGCTGGAAGTTATGGACACCTTTCCTCTATGGCAGGTTATTCTGTAATTGTCCAGTAGGGGACTTTGATACCTTCCTCCGAAGCATCTGGTATTGACCAATGTTGGAGACAGGAGACCAGAGTAGCTCACTGGTCTGATCCACTATGGAAATTCTCACAAGTAAGCTCACTGCAGAACATTGACACAAGGCTATCCTCTGCCTCCATCCGCCACATGATACCTTGCTTCATACCCAGGGTTTCAGTGGGACTGCTCGTTTAAGGGCACCAAGGTTGGGTCCCAAAGGCTCAGGCTGCATTTGGTGCATGCCATCGGCTGCTGAACAAAGGCAGTGGTTGAGCCCAGCGTGAAGCTACTCACCACGAGACGGTTATCTTGTTCCTTTACTGGTTTTCTCTTAGGCCCAGGGCACCATATCGAATACTCTTCAGCTGAACTTCACCATCATGGAGACCACATGCTCAGCGTCAGACAAAGCCCCTGTGGAGCAATGCGCCTTCAAAGAGAATGGGGTAAGGAACAGCTCTGGGGGTGGAGATATTGCCATGTTCTCTTGTTTAGCGCACCTCTGCTGTGATGGGCAACAAGCTCTACTGAGTCCCTGAGGGCTACAGTGGACACCTGACAGGCTTTCACTGCCTTTGGCTTTACATTGTGATGTTATGAACTATAATGATCCAATGAATCATCACAGAACCTGCTGAGCCAGATTCACTGCTGTAAATGAAGCTGCAGGTTTCTTTTGCTTGTTCCAGCAATGAATTTAGCCCCGTGAACAGGGGTGCTGGAACAATTTGAATAGTGAGGGTTCTGACAGCCATTGAACCAAACTGTGTAACCCCTGCATATAATGAAAACCACTTCAAACCAGGGGGAGCGGCAACCCCCACAGCACCCCTATTCCAGCACCTATGCCAGTGTGATACTCACAACTCAGAAAGATCTGTTCTCAGCTTCAGTCAGGTCTGTCAACCCACCAGCCCTAGCAGGGGGAAAAATTATGCTGAAGTTCAGGGAAAAAATGTCTGTGACCCAAGACAAAAGATGGAAGCCCCGGAACTAGAGATTCTGAAAATGGGGCAGGACAGAGGGTTAAAAAGTTCCTGGAGAGAACAAATGACAGGGAAATGGACCAAGTGATGTACTGGTTCTCTGCCACCTCTGCCCTCTGGGATATATGTGTGTTTGTTTCAGGTGAAGGGAGGGATGCAGATTCCCAAGGGTTTGGCAAACAATTTCACAGCCAGAATTTCAAAACCAGCCTTTCGTTTTGGGCGTCTCCATTTGTGGGGTGCTCAGCTTCAGGCATGCAGACACCCAAAGTTAGGCACCTGACATTCATTGTTAGGCCCCTAACTAAGCATTTGACTTTCAGAGGTGGCGAGTGCCCACTTGAAGCCCCAGTCGAAGTCAATATGAGCTACGGGTGCTCTGCACCTCTGGGGAAAAAAAGCACAACACAGACCCACAGTTCCTAACTTCCCCGAATGTCTTCAGCAGTCCCCAGACTGACTGAATATCAGAACAAAGGGAAAGAGCCAGGGAAGATCAAATAGAAACATATGAAAGAAGTCAGTAAGTAATGCCAGCTGCTGACCAGATTTCACCTCAAACTACAGCAGCTGCATGGTCTAGTGGACAAGGCAGTGACACAGGGTGACCAGATAGAAAGTATGAAAAATCGTGACGGGGGTGGGGGGTAATAGGCGCCAATATAAGAAAAAGCCCCAAATTATCAGGACTGTCCCTATAAAATCAGGACATCTGGTCACCCCACAGTGACAAGACACAGATTCAGTGACTTAGCGCGACAGGAGGGGTGAGGTCTGATCCATACGTGCCTGAACACCTGCTTCCAGATGTGAGTGGTGGGGTGGTTTCCATCAGGAGAGAAGAGGAGGGTGGTTTTTCTGCTAAACGGATCTGTTTTGAGTTACTGCACCATGTGCTACAAGCCGAGAGAAGCACCATTCTATTTCTTTCCATTTTCGCACAAGAACCAGTCAAACAGATGAGCAGAAACAAGACCCTCCTCTCTCCCCATGGAAACCCCCCGCATCTAAGAGCAGACATCCAGGAACCTGTAGATCAGACCTCAGCCCCCCTGTGGAAATCAGGTACGTCAACACTGCAGCCGGGAGGTGCCATCGCGGCATGGACTCCAGCCGGCTTGGCTTGAGCTAGATCAAAGCGAGCTCGAATAACCGCAGCAGCCAGGGTGGCTCTGGCTAGCGGCTCCCGTGTGATCCCAGGGTCACTCAAGCGATGTCTGCACTTACAACACTACAGTGGCACCGCTGAAGGGCTGCCCCTGAGCTGCTGCAGTGCTTCAGTGTGGACAGCAGTGACGGGCAGGGTTCTCCTGTCGCTGTCGATAATCCACCGCCCCAGCTAGGGCGAGGGAAGAATTCTTGCACAGAGGGCCCAGCACAGAGGGCTAGGTGGGCATAACTACATCTCTCAGGGATGTGATGTTACCCCGAGAGACGTAGCTACGCCGCTGTAAATTTGCAGTGGAGACCAGCCCTCAGATTCCCCTAGATCTACCTAGATCAAAGTGACCTGGGGTATCCCTATGTGAGCTGCAGCCATACCGCCCCAACTGCCGTTTAGACAGACTCTAAGCTTTTGTCTCCTCCTCTTCCTCCCTTGCAGCTGGTCAGAGACTGCTCAGGACACTTCTCCACCCAGGAAGCATGCCCTGTCCTTGCAATCACCTGTGACGTCGCCCCTCCGCAGGTGAGCTGTCCAACCAGATGATTTGGGGGGCGAGGGAGGGGAGAACTTATACCTTGAACGAGTGGGGCTGGGGCAGCATCTCCCCAGGGTGAAAATGCCACTGGGACATCTCCTTCTGCTTTGGGTACATTCACCTGAAAATACACCTCTGCCAAACACCTCCCCCTACCTGGGACCAAGACACCCCAAGGAAGGCGGATGTCCGAGATGGCTCTTTGTCACTGCACGGCCAGGTCTAACAAAATGAGTGTGTGGGTTTCAGCAGAAGATCCCCTTAACCTCACACTACAGACATTAGGTCCCATGTTGGCTTCCCCTGTCTCCCCACAATAGGATCTGCCTTAGCTGGGATGGGTCAACCCTCAGTCTAAGCCGTAGAGCCTCATCCAGACATCAAGTGAAGTCCATGACAGTCTTTCCATTGAATTCAATAAGCTTTGTTTCAGGCCTGGAGAGAAAGTAGTACATGATTTGTATCCCCATAACGTTTCCCCAGAATATCAACCCTCCAGCTGGGAATCCCGGTTCCTCCCCAGCACAGACCCCATTAGTGTGGTGTCATCCAGCAGCCAAGAGAGCTTTCCTCCTGAAAGCGAGCCCTTTCCCCAAGTGCCCAGCAAGAGCCCCAGATGCTATGGCAGTTGCTTCTCCCGGGACGTAGAATTCCAGCCATCCCTTCCTGGCCATTCCCAGCTCCTCTTGGTCTAGCTCCAGTCTCAAACTCAGCTCCCCAGCAGGGGCTGCACAAAGCATGTTAGAATAGGCCTCTCCCCTCACCCCCCAAACCAGCCCTCAGAGATTTGGCAAGGTGCAGATGATGAAGTGGAACACCATTAGAAGCCAGGTAGGTCTCCGTGGAGATGCTAACATACTTCGTTTCCCCCCATACAGCCCGTTCGCGTCACCAGGTGGTGGCCCCTTGTGCGCTTAGGCGCAAAAATCATCGGTCATGGCATTTCCTTTTTCCACTCGAAGAATTAATCCAGAGATTGAGGAGGGGAACGCAAGCTTGTCAGACCTGCCTGTGACCCACGCTGGAAGCTTACCAGGAATCAAGGCGCAAGTCAGAACCGCCTCAGGGATCACACTTTTCCTCGTGGCCTAGCTACCCCCTTAGTCCAATTGCATCTGCTAGGGCTTCTCTGTACAATAAACGGCTGTTCGCAGACCCATATGATTGTGCATGTTTCCCCTCACCCCTCGCCTTTCCACACTGCCGGGAGAAGGGGCAGGAATCAATCCCCCACCTGTGCTTGCGGGCAGTGGAAAGCCCCCATTAGGCACTGAGCTGCCCCTCTTCCCCAGCCCATTGCCAGGGAGGGACAGAAGCCCAATGCATGGAATGACTTTAACATCTGGACTTCAAGTCCAGCAGGGAGCTGAGTCACCACGCTAAACCCAGCACGCGGGCAGAGCCAATGTAAGAGGCCTGTACCCTGGACTCACCCAGCTTAGTGACATGGACCTTGGGCACCTCTTGCTCCCATCACTGCAGTTCCAATGGTGCAACCAGCCACGCCAGGGCCCACAAAGTTATGGGGGCCCAACCAGGGTCTGATTTCAAATGCAGGAGTCCCAGGCTGGAGATCTCTGGGGATTGCACCCCTGACTGGGTGGACAGGACCCAGGCATCTGGCAGCCTGTATACCCACTGCCTGAAGGGTAATCAGATCATAGATAGATAGAACCCAGGCGTCCGTGATCCGGGGGGAGGGCTGTCTGTGCTGGTGCTGCAGGGGGCTGCTGGCCATGGGGTGCTCCTGGATCTAGCCCACGTGTGTTCCTGCCACTACCAGCAGTTACGCCACCATGCTCCACAATGGAGAGAAGCCCCGGAGGAGAGCAGGACCCGCTGGCCATGCGGGGCAAATGGGGTGGCTAAGATGGGGTGGGGGGGTCTGTTTGGAGTGGCTCCAGGCATGAGCAGCCAGCAAGGACAGATGGGGAAGCCATGGTGGCACCGCAGCACTGGGAACAGGTGGGGGGCCCAGCAGGCAGAGACAGGGGACACAGGCCCCCCTAGAGATGAAACACAAGGTAAAAGCACCGGCTCCTTTGTAGGGGGTGGAACGGGGAGGGGGGGAGTTAGATTGGAGCCAGAGGGGGACAGGTTGGCTAGATTGTCGGGCTCAACGGGTAGTGATCAATGGCTCCATGTCTAGTTGGCAGCCGGTGTCAAGTGGAGTGCCCCAGGGGTGGGTCCTGGGGCCAGTTTTGTTCAATATCTTCATAAATGATCTGGAGGATGGTGTGGATTGCACCCTCAGCAAGTTTGCGGATGATACTAAACTGGGAGGAGTGGTAGATACGCTGGAGGGCAGGGATAGGATACAGAGGGACCTAGACAAATTGGAGGATTGGGCCAAAAGAAATCTGATGAGGTTCAATAAGGATAAGTGCAGGGTCCTGCACTTAGGACGGAAGAACCCAATGCACCGCTACAGACTAGGGACCGAATGGCTAGGCAGCAGTTCTGCGGAAAAGGACCTAGGGGTGACAGTGGACGAGAAGCTGGATATGAGTCAGCAGTGTGCCCTTGTTGCCAAGAAGGCCAATGGCATTTTGGGATGTATAAGTAGGGGCATAGCGAGCAGATCGAGGGACGTGATCGTTCCCCTCTATTCGACATTGGTGAGGCCTCATCTGGAGTACTGTGTCCAGTTTTGGGCCCCACACTACAAGAAGGATGTGGATAAATTGGAGAGAGTCCAGAGAAGGGCAACAAAAATGATTAGGGGTCTGGAACACATGAGTTATGAGGAGAGGCTGAGGGAGCTGGGATTGTTTAGTCTGCGGAAGAGAAGAATGAGGGGGGATTTGATAGCTGCTTTCAACTACCTGAGAGGTGGTTCCAGAGAGGATGGTTCTAGACTATTCTCAGTGGTAGAAGAGGACAGGACAAGGAGTAATGGTCTCAAGTTGCAGTGGGGGAGGTTTAGGTTGGATATTAGGAAAAACTTCTTCACTAGGAGGGTGGTAAAGCACTGGAATGCGTTACCTAGGGAGGTGGTAGAATCTCCTTCCTTAAAAGTTTTTAGTGTCAGGCTTGACAAAGCCCTGGCTGGGATGATTTAATTGGGGATTGGTCCTGCTTTGAGCAGGGGGTTGGACTAGATGACCTCCTGAGGTCCCTTCCAACCCTGATATTCTATGATTCTATGATTCTAGGGGAGGGCAGTGGCAGCAGAAATGGGGGTCTGGACTGGAGCTGCTGAGGCTGGAGAAGGGGACGCATGGAGCTCAGGGGGTCTGGATCAGAGCTGGGTCCAATGCGGGATTGGAGCAGCTGAAGGGATCTGAGGGGAAGGAGCTGGGGGAGGGCTTGTGGGGGCCTGAACCAAGGCTGGGGGGTGGATCAGGGAAGTGGGGTCAGGAGGGGAGCTAAAAGGGCCTGGGGCAGGGGAGATGAGATCAGGGCTGGGAGAGCCTAGGGCTGGGCTGATGGAGGCTGGAGAGGGGTTGAGGGAGAGCTGGGGATGGGGCGGGGGCTGGAAAGGGGACCGGATTGGGGATCTGGGGAAGTGAGCCAGGAGCTGGGTGGGCTGGAGGATGGTTATTAGTTACTGTACTTGTACCGCCTTTGCACCCAGAGGCCTCCAGCGACATCAGGGCCCCAAGGCGCTAGGTGCTGTACAAAACCAGCTTGAGCAACGGGCTCTGCTCAGAAGAGCTGACAGGCTGAATGGCCAAGACAGACAAAGGCTGGGGGGAAAGGAGGCGCCATTAGCCCCTGTTTACAGAGGGGGAGCTGAGGCCCCAGGCCAGACAGGGAGTCTAGGACCTAGACTTCCTGATTCCCAGCCGTGTGCCTTACCCCCAAGACCAGCCTTCCTTTCCTAAAGGCTGGAGGAGCTAAGGGTCTGCAAACTGACTCCTAATTGGGGTGGCTGTGCAGGGGAGTCTCCCTCCTTTTGGCATGTTGTTACTGGCTTTCCAGAGGCTGCTTTTGGGGGTGGTTCTGTGACTGGCCCTCCATCACTGACCTGTCATTGCCCCAGGCCTTGGACTGGCCCCTCTCTTCCCCCAGGCTCGGCTGCCGTCAGGCCGAGCGACTCTCCCCTCCTGGGGTCATACGGCTATGAAGCCAGCCGTCAAAGGGTCTGGTTCCCTGAATGTGCTGCCCCGTCATATCAGAGCTCAGTGGTGGTGAGCAAAAGGGCTCCCACCAGCTGGGGGGAGCAGAGTGAAACGGGGTGGGCGGGGAAGGGGGGTCAGCTCGGCGCTGGCCCAGCCGAGGGGGATTGGGAGCTGGGGGGCAGCAAAGGGGAGCTCCCTGATGACTTGAATCCCTGCCTGAAGGCCCCTCTGAAAGTGCTCCAGCCTCTCAGCCCCCCATTGTGCCTGCCAGGCAGCCCCACGTCAAAGGGTGGCCAACCCCTGATGCTGCTTTGGAGAATGGGCCACATGGAAGGGACACCAGCCTGGGCTGTGGACCCAGCACTTGGAAGATGGAAACGCAGAGCCCCCATTGCCCCCAGGGAAAGGAGCAAGAGGCAGGAAGAGAACCCCGGGCCTGCGGGATTGATTTCACAGCATGATTGTCCGTTATCCCCATCTCTCAGGGACACCATGGAGGATTCATTGCAGCCCGGGGTTTGGCTTCCCCCTTGTGGCCGTGTTAATTATAGCCGGTATGGGATGGCCGTGATGAGACACGGAGTCTGGAGTCTGCAGCATCCAGGGTACTTGGCTCAGTGCTCCCGGGATGGCCTGAAAAACACCCCGTGCTGCATCCAAAAGGCTTTACTCCAGCACTGCCATCACTAGGTTGTTATGTTCTGGGGTCCTGAGAGGCCCCAACCAAGAACAGTGTCCCATTGTGCTAGGTGCTGTACAGACACATAGTAAGAGAGTCCCTGTCCTGAAGAGCTTACAGTTTAGAGAACACAAAGTGAAGGAGGGGAAACAGAGGCAGAGAGAAGATCAGCAGCTGAGCCGGCAGCAGACCCCAGTTTCTCTGGCTACTAATCCAGCGCTCTATCCCCTGGACCATGCTGCCTTCCAAGAGCCACCAGCGCTGGTCTGGTCTTTCTTTCCTCCACAGCGGGGGGCCGCAGAGCTCATTGGGACTCAGCTGTGCGACATACTGAAACTAAACGCTGTGTGGACCTCCCAGGTCACCCAGCGCTGCTCCAAACCGAACTAGCTGACTGACGTTTGAGCCGGTCTCCGAGCAAGCCACAGCACGGGCCACAGGCCCCGTGCATGGTCTCAGCGTCTTTCATGGCAGCGGGGCTTGTCTGAACGATGCCAGCTGTGGTGAGACCCAGGGAGCGGGGCTGATGCACGTGTCCCAGTGGAGACCCGGGCGGGAGGATCCCTGCAGCAGAGACAGAGGTGAGCTGGAAACAGCAGCAAACAGCACTGGGAAGGCAATGACTCAAGTCAGGCACGCTAAGAATTCAGGCTGGTTCACCCTTGGGCAATGAATCACGCTCCCAGGAACATTCCTGGGACAGTGCAAGGCTCCCTGACAGCCTCTCTGATGAATCCCAGGCAGGGTGAACTTACCCAGGATCCCATCCCGTTACTGACACCGGAGGCCATTGCACTTCCCCGATGAGAACAAGACACAGTCCTGGGGCTTTAGATTTCAATCTAAACACTCATTAATTACTATTAAGGTCACACCCAGAGGTCCCATTCAGGATCCACGTCTCATTGGACTGGGCCTGTTCACACACCAAGTAAAAGACAGGACCGGCTGTGAAGAGACTAGTGCCATAGAGTTCGGGGCAGGATCTGAATTCCTTGGGCTTCCTTGGGATTTTACTTTAGGTTCATCAGTACTATTAATATTAGCTCTTATTCAGGGCCGTTAAGGGTCTCTCTCTCTCTCTCACTCACACACATGCACACAAGTTGGCTGAGTGGCAGCTGATTTGCTTTGCAATAAGCGAAGCTTCCTGTGGGAAGATCACTCAGGGACCCAGAGTGAAGATCCAGTGACTCGAAGTTGAAGTCACTCATGTTAACTTGTGTTAACTCTCCCAGGAGGGGAGAGTCGCTCGACCTGACGGCAGCCGAGCCTGGGGGAAGAGAGGGGCCAGTCCGAGGCCTGGGGCAATGACAGGTCAGTGATTGAGGGCCAGTCACAGAACCACCCCCAAAAGCAGCCGCTGGAAAGCCAGTGACAAGGTGC